CTGCATCATACGGCTCAGATATCACTCAGATTTATTTAATTGGAGAATCGCCAATAACGATTTAAGCAATTTTGCAGCATTCCTAATGCTGAAGGAGTTTGTGTTTGCAAATTTTCCTAAAAAATTGCTGATTTTCCGTAACTTCAATGTGATTTTAGAGTAACTAGAAAATACGTTGTCTAGCTTTCAATTTGTGCGTTTTTGAAAATTTTGGCTAAAGTTGGATTCTTCTCTGTGTGTTTCAGGAATTCAGGTTTTGAGTCGACTTGGTTATGTGGAGTGTATAATTGTGTGGACTTTTTACTCATTTCTGTATTTTAACACACAAAATTTGCTGTGTTTCGAAGGTTTAGACTATTTCAAATGCATTTTTTTTATTTGAACATTATTGTTTGATCAAGCTTTGTACCTTTTGGACCTTCAGCCTCAAGTGGTCTTCTTGTTGGTTGCTTTTGAAAAATAGCTTTAAATATTTTTTAATAACATGAATTAAGAAATCGTGTAATAAAGTGATTTTTTAAAAGTGAACTTATCCAGTGTGTTTAGTAAGAGATCGTCGAAAGAAATTTGCACCATTTTTCGCTTGCTTGCTAATTTTCAAGGAGTACGTTTTTGAAATATGTATCAACAAAATTCTGCACCAATTGTTACGTTTTTAGGGTTCGAAAAATCGCAGTAACTCGCTCTGTTTGTCGCGAATTATAACTAACAATAATCGTACTACTTTTCGAGTCGCGCTTGCTTTATATAGCCCTTTGACAACACTCGAATATTCGGGAACTTTCTCTATTCCAAATCCATCGATCGGTCGCTGTCGCGAACTTTCAGTAGTCATCTCGCTTTATAATCACCTAGATTTATTTAACTGGCCAACCGATAAAGGTTTTAGCAATTTTGCAACATTCCAAATGCTCGATTGATTTGTACTTTGTAAATTTCCCAAAAATGTCTGATTTTTCAGTTTTCATTTTGCGTTCATGTCAGCTTAGATTAACTAGAAAATACATTATCTAGCGTTCAATTTGTATATATTTTACACAAACAGTTAACTGTTGCTGCAAAATCCTGCAGATTGAATTTGAATTTGCTCAAATGTCCGGATAGTCTGGATTTGTCCATTCAAATGACTTATTAACGCCGATTTAATTTTAGAAAAGTCCGCATTACTTGACCACGTAGACTGGATTTTTTCGTCCAAATGGCCGGAGTAAATTCAAAGTGTCTCTTTGACCTACTTTTTGGTGAGATAACAGCTGCCTGTTAAGCTACAATTTCCGCTGATTAACTTTCCGATTATGCAAAAACTTCAGCCTCTTAATCGTGCCGGTGCTCCTTTATGTTTCTCTCCACTAGAGCAAATAAATAAATGCCGGACAGAATCGGGTGCTTGGAGAGGGTTGATAGATTGCCCACACTAAACTACAGAGTAGTCGGGCAATAAACGTCATGACCCGGGTCTTCATTTCTCTTTCGGAAGGACCAATAAAATAATTTGAAGCGTCCTTTCCGAAACCGGGACGCGCCGTAATTGTGCTGGATTTCTGGACATTATCGCTGCCTAGATGTGTCGGTGTTAATCAGCCTTCAGTTCCAATCAGGGATCTGGCATTAAGTGTTTTCATTTGGTGCAGCAGCCGACGGAAAAAACAACTTGATTCGATTAGATCGATGACTAAAGTTTCCGATAAACCCCGCAAATTAATTATGTTAATGAGGGCCGTTTCACTAATCTCGCAAAAGTCTGCTCGGGCATAAGTCAACAGCATAGACGAGGAGGAGTGAACAATATCTGTAATATCCGAAGGGTGCAAAGCGCCCTATTTATCGACGAAAACTAGTCCTGTTTGTTCCGACGAGTTTTATCGCCCACATTTCTGGGCAGAGGGTAACTTTTATCTTAACTTGATTTGCTATTTACCGTAGTCAATTCGTTCATTGAATTAAGAGGAGAACAGTGTGACAAGCTTGATTCCCGTTGCGGCGAAAAAATAAGATTATTTTGACACTGACCACCTCGAGGCAAGGACAAAAAAACAAAAGGAAATCGCGTTACGTCGGTCCCTGAAGGCCCGGACAGGAGCTGGAACAAATTGGGACTGTGATGTTTCAATGTCTGATGGGCATTTTACCTTTTGGGCATATTGTTGACGCCAAAATTTCCGCTCACTGAATAGCGGACGCAATCCAGAAGTTATTAGAGCAATTGCGTGGTTGATTCCCTGTCGCTCCCCTGTCAATAGCCCAAATGGGCAAAAACAGCGGAATCAATCATGCCAATAAGAGTAATAAAAGTCCAATAGGAATACATTACAATAGAAATAGGCAATTTTCGATCTACATCCCCAACCGATTTGGTGATTTCCACTGTCTATAAGAAAGCATCTCGGCATCTGACAAATTGGCCGAGCCATCAGATATTCATGCCTTATCGCCCTTTCGCTTTATTTTCCTTTCCACATTCTGACCCCGTTCCGAACAAGGGCTGACCAATGGCATGCTGTCGTAAGGGTTGGTCGCGCAGCCCTTGTGGTCAGTTCAGGGAGTGGTCAGTAGTCCGGTTGGACGAAAAAATCTCAAACATTTCTCGAAAAACTCTCGGGCCCTTCGACGCGTAAGGGATTGACCCTTTGCCCGAACACAATTCGTTATGTTCGGTCGATCGGGCAGCAGCCCGAACCCTTTGACCGTCATTCGTAGAATAATAAATAAACGTCCAGGTGCTTAGTTCGCGATCACGATCTGGACCACAGGACAAAAGCTCGAAAACAACGCGTTCGCTTTGTCTGCCTTCAGAAAGGCGGGCTCTGGCCTGTTGGCTTCATAAAGCCCAAGCAGTAATTAGTAAAAATACATAACGTTTGTTATATGAGAACCAGTTCAGGCTGATGTAAAGGGCTTTTGTAAAAACTCGCAGACGGTCAAAGCTTTTGCTGATTTCAACTATGTAAATGTTAGGTTTGGGCAACATTGTAGGCCAAAAAATTATTTTTCTGCAAAATGTGTCTAAAATTTTGACAAATTTGGTTTTTCAATACCTAGAGGTTTTGCGGTATTCAGGCGCAAAATTTGAGTACATTTTTCATTCAAATCGAAATATTCCTATTGCTTTGGTGGAAATCTTTTCCTGAAATTTTCCTAAATTAGTCGATGCATCTGTGCAATGGCCACCTCGTTTTCCCGATCTGAATCCACTCTAGTTTTCCTTATGAGAGGTTATTAAGGTTTTAATTTTTATATGCTACAGATCTCAATATCTGCTTCTAACAAATAAACCACCAAATTTTCCCTATTATCTGGTTTTCTATGAGGAAAAGAGTGTAAAATTGTGTTCGTAAAGAGTGAAGCTTATTTAACCCTTAGTATAAATTTGGTGATATCCGTTTCAAGATCGTCAGTTTAGAAATCGGTGGATTTTTGAAAACTACCTAAAATAGAGTTTTCTGATGGCCATAAAATGAAAAATCAGTTACCAGACTATTTCGACAAGAATATTTTATTTTTATTCATTTGGAAGGGTTCAGCTTCACTTTTACCTTTTAAAACCCTGGGCCACGTGTCCCAAAAGCAGATTTTACAACATACAAATAAGATTTTCAGATCAGATTTTCGCAATCTTATGGACAGTTTTCACATCTTCTGGATCCTCATCAATTCACATTCTTAAGGGCATTTGGACGTAGTTACCTATAGGTCCGAATAATTTGTCACCTTCCCTTATCTTGAAGATGTTTCAAAAAATCCGTGGGGTTAAATTAGGATTGTGTGCTGGTCTTCGAATACCATACCTATAGGATTTATTAAATTGCACGCCCCGGTCGTTCATATTTAGTGGAAATACATTAATTCCGGTTAAAACGGCTAAATTAGTTCGCATTAGTAATTTTGCAGTTCAGTACATTTCTATATACAAGGTGTTAGTATAAAAAATATATTTTTTGCCAAAACAATCCGGGATTTTAGGTAGACCACATCCTACAATAAAAAATATAAATTAATGTTTGGGGCAGCCACGTTAAAGCCCTGAAAGCTGGACTGAAGGTAAAACTTTCCACCAAAAATCGTTTTTGTTTCGTAGAAACCATCAGATAATAAAACGTGACTATCAGAAATTGAGTATTGTAAAACCCAAAAAAGTTCTTCTGTTTGCAACGAAAAGTTGAAAATTTTCTGGACTAGATAAACCCCCAGCCACGAAATCCTGCGCTAATAGTAAAAGCAGTTACAAAGCTAGTAGAAAAAATGGAAAATTTAATTTCAAATTTGACACCGTATTTTCGGTAGAACACGATGGCCCCAAATGAAAGGTTATATTATGAAACTAGTATTCTTTTCCTGAAGGAATTTGCAGGCAACCGATTCGTGTGCTTTTTTGCAACACCCTGTTTTATCTAAGAACGGTACGCACTGCTACTTGCGAAATATACAGTGATTTATAACTATCTGAAAACATCATCATTTCATTCCTTCAAAAATAGCCAACTGTTAAGAAGTAAGCACCAATAAGTTGGTCCTGAAATTTTGCAATGTTAGGGACAGTTTACAGGCTCAACTCTTCTCTGATCTAAACATGTTACTCTGTAAATATACTGACTGTAGCACTTCGCTACTAGTGAGAAAATTTCATTTTACATCAGCTTTTCTTATCAAAAGACCGCACAAAAAACCATCTAGTGATAAATTCGAGTCTGACCCGGACTATATGGCCCTTACGGCCCTCGACGGTTTTCCTTGTCGACAATGAGCCTTCGGACAATTAAAAACAAGACTTGAAAACTGGGTGATTGCTAATCCCGGCAGGGGGCCACCGTTATTAGGGGGTGAAGGGTTCAGCAGTTCCGTCTGAAGTGTCATTACGACACCGTAAGCATTATAGGGGGGCGGATATTCAAATGACATTCTTGCAGCTGTTACGGGAGCTCAATCAATAGCGTTGATAGTTAGGAAACAATTTGGGAAACACACTCAACCGATTGCTGATGGTTTTCGTCTTTTGATTGCAGCGGATGCAGATGGACAGGAGTTGATCGACGACCATCAGGACATTCTGACCTGCGGTATTTGCAAGAAGTCCTTTCCGCTGTCCGACATTGTTCACTTCATCCACCACAAGGGCCATTCCTGCAACAAGGAGAACTTTGGCCAGTGTTTCATCAATCCGGATCGGGACCGGGATAACGACGATGGGTCTCTGCCGTTGAGCACCATCAATACCAGACGGCCCAGTATATCAGCGCCGATTAGTAGCAAAAAGAGTGGCGCCAGTCGAGTGCATACTCCACCTCCTGCTAGTCCACGGTGAGTTGTAGAAAACTTTGTATTTGCTACACTTGTATCATCCATCCAGAGTTCTATTAAACGGTCTTCAGTCAGCAGCTTCAGAATCTCTAGACTTCGAACAGTTTCATTGTGGATGGGTATAGAGGGTGGTCGAAAATTGGGGCATTTATTTTTTTCGAAAAAGGAGTCGGAACAAAGGAACAAACATTTGTTTGGAGGACTCCAAACAAATGTTTTTGGTAAGACTGCAAAGTTGATAGTTAGGTTGAGACGTGACTGGAAGAGATGGGCAGGAACCAACTTTTTCGGTTATTAGGCACGAAAAATTTCCTCGGATAGCGAAWCTATTAGAACTAGAATAGAAAATAATTAARATGATTTTGTGAGCATTTGTGTCCATCGAGCTCAAAACGTCTTAATCGTAAACGAGTCTTAATCGTGTGCTATAAAACTTTCATTTGCATTTTCTGGCGAAAGTTTCGCACACCCGGTATAATMATTATATCCCAAAAAAGKCATACTTGATGCGTTCTTGTCATGTSTTRTCASTTTTGCGTTTTGAAGAGCACAATTTGAAACTTAACTGCAGAATTTTGGTGCTGTTGTTCGAAAATTTACAAAAATGTAACATTTCCTCGTATGCCAGCTTAAATAAACTAGCAAATTCACGGTTTGCTAAAATACTTTCGTTATACGAACATTATTACGGTTTTCAAACTATACCCAGAAACGTTTAATCATTAGATACAATATTGAATATGGTGGACTCTTGTACAGGGTGTCCCAACGCTAGGGTGAAATAAGTGTACGCTTAACCGGTATTAATCGCTTCAAAATTCTCCTCCTCGCATATTTAAAAATATTCACAATKAAACGAGTGCGCCCTAAAAGTTGCCACGCAGAACACAACTTTTTTTYTAATGGAACGCGTCATATTTTATTTTATTTTYGATTTTTTATGAAAATTTMAATTATTTTTTTATTAAGTCAAAAATCAGCGAAAATTGGATAGTTTTTTAGTTATTCGGTTTTATAGACATAGCATTTACATGGTGTCGATAAATCGCAAATTTCTCCGTCGTTTTAAGACACAAAATTTTGAAATTTGGCAGGAGAAAGGACTAACACTATATTAACACTTGGTTTGAAAAATATGTTGTCTTTGAAACTACAGGGAGGTCAGAATAATGGTGCAAATGAACGTATTTCGAGCTCAAAAATCTCATTTTGTTAATGGCACACTCCATAAATTGTTGATGTTTATTCAGGATATTCAGTTTAAGGTTTAAACAGAAATATTTTTGCTCCAAAACTACGAGTGCTACAAAATTTTACAGAGCACAAAAATCTCAACACAGGATTAGTGCATCAAGCCAAAAAAATGAGGTGATTCTAGCAGCCAACTTAAAAGTTCTGTTCACTTTTGACTCAAAGTCACACAAGCAAACAAGAAAAATTCAGCTAGTAGCTTGAAGGCTTTGTCGGCTAATCACTAATGATTGGATTGTTTATTTTTAGGCTTCCAGCTCCCAGTGACTTGTGTGTGGACGGAGCAGCATCTTCAACTCCAAAAAGACGCGCTTCTTCGCCATTGACCACTTCGGGCAGTACCGACGATGGTGAGGACCACAAGCCGACCATCAAACAGGAACGCATCGACACTACCAACTCCTCACCTGAAGACCCTTCGCACAAAAAGTGCCGCACCGAAGTTGCTGATGCCGAAAGCAACACGACACATAGCGGTAAGTTGGGGGAGTGTTATTAAAGTTTCCACTCACGGTCAGCAATCGGGCCACAGCTCGGGCATTAGCATATGTTTAAAATGTGGCTACGATCCAAGACACAAAGGACCTCACGAAGGCGCGATTACTTATCGCGATTGCGAAACAGAGGGTGCCGTTCTTGCTTTAACTTAACACCCATTGTCGGCATGTGTTGCCTCGGCTGGACCCTGGAATTTACAATTTTCCAGCGCCGGGTTTTTTCTAAGAGCTGCGTAGAATTTGACTTCGAACTACAGTCGAAACGCCCATGAATTGATATTTTCTCTTGCTCATTTTCTTGCGTTCTTCGATTGATTCGGGACACATTGACTGACAGACGATGCGGAAAAAGTCGAAATTAAACTGAAACAAGCCGGTGCCTGCGACTTATTGAATACTCTTTCTTGCGGAGGAATTGACAGATTTGTTAATTTAGAACCTGTTCCCGCCACATTTGACTGCTGAGCGTTCGCCGTCGTCAAAGAGTTTTCACGAAACCGACTAAAAAAAGCACACAAGCTTCCATTGCATGGGCATGTATAAATTTCGATCAGAAATTCATTAATTTCTGGCCTGCGGGCCGACGCTACCAATACGGTTTTAAAATCCAGTAACAAGTGTCTAAAATAAGCTTTTCGGTGGAAATCAGCCCCATGTAATTTCCAGTTTCCGAGTCCCCCATATTGAATTTTCAAACGGGAAACACAATACACGATTATGAATCAAGCCGAGCCCGCAAATGTCATTGATAGCTTATATATCAATCACCACAAAGGCCGCTGGCGATTTCCGATCGATGTTTTGGACAAGGGTTGACGACGACGACTTTTGCTATCAATTGGTTATCGCCGATCTTTCAACTGTTCTTCGTTTGGCCATTTGCCGGCAAAAGCAGGTCAAAGAGTCTTGAGGAGCACAGCGGTTGAGTGGAAAACACTTTTGGAGTTTACGTTTCTAAGACAAGGAAAGGGTTTTGATGGGCAGAAATTCAATTGATTTCAAATGGGTATAAAGGTATCCACGTTGCGACATTTGGAGATTCCTTACGAGTTTTTAAGGCTACACTTTTCAAGACCAGTTCACCGAGAGAACTGCCTGGACGTCTCCGTTTTTCTTCGGTTTAGTGTCTCAAAAATGTATGATTTCTTGTAAATCACACATGTGCGATAATGTGTTTAGATGAGCACTAACAGTTAAGAACAATCGGAAATGTAGTTCTTTAATGGAGTTTCCAAAGCAATGATGTACAGTGAGTTCCAGATGAAAGTCTAATTTCATTTAAAATTCAGCGCTGCGCTTTTGGGAAAAAAGCTGGGACCCGTAAAGTATTATTTCTCAAATGCGGGTTTTACGGTTTTACTCAAAAATATTGGGATGCTTTTAAAATGAATCGCATCCAAATTTCGACGTTTGCGGTTTCCGAAATCGTAAAGTTAACAGAGCGAGTACAAATCGAAATTCTCTGAATTGTTTGGGCGAAATGAGTTTTGCGAAAGCATGCAAAATACGTGCAATCTAAACAATAATTCTTCAATAGGAAGGATAGGAATATCATTCAAAAAACAAGTATGTCTGCAATATATTCAACTTGAATCAATTCCAGCATTGGTGCCTTTATTTCCAAATCCATTTATCTTACTTATTTTTTTTAAAACGGAAAGGGTTTTGAATGGCCTCCCAAATCGCCAGCCATAACTCCATAAATGTTAGTTAAAAACCGTACAAGAAGAGTTTATTGATCGCCCTAAATATTGTCAGGCCGTAAATGGCCGTTTCAGAATTAATTTTTGGATCTTATAGCACTGTTTCTTGTTAAAGCGAAAGTTTGGGCGGAAATATTCGACACTAAAGCTTGTTTTCCCAAACTGTTGGGTATTTCGCCTCAAAAATTTTTGTCTTAAAAAAAGACGGAATTTCCTCACTTCCTTTATTACAGATTGATAAACAGTGTTTTATTTGAAGAGGAAATTCTGTCTTTTTAAAGACAAAAATTTTTGAGGCAAAATACTAAAGACACAGTTTGTAAAAAAAATTTTTTTTCCTATAAATAAATTAAATTTAGGCATTTTGATAGTGATTCGAGGTCGTTTCTACTCTGCAAAATCTGTCAGAATCACAGATTTCGAGGGTAGTTCTGATTTCGACCATTTTCCATGCAACCCTGTATATCGAATTTACTTCCAAATGTTAAATTGCCTATACAGTTTTACCTTCAACATAAGCTCTAGATCGTAAAAATCGAGCCGAAAGGAAGATACGTTGCCGCTGCAAACCAAAAATTTGTCGAGGCCACCCTGTAATTTGGTTTATGTTTAAAAATATCTGATTTTGAAATCCAAAAAACCTTTTTTGTCCAGGTAGGAGAATGCCAAACTTTCTGAAATTTTGTTTTTTAAGTTTGCGACTCTGTAGAAAATGTGTCTGAAATGTTTAACGCATGACCTACATACATTCTTTCTAGAAATTCTAATTCTTTTTTTGTATTTGATTTATTTTTAATTTACTTATTAATTCCACCTAAATTCTGAAAATTTTAATAACAATTATTTAACTTTACTGATAGAACTTGAACAGTTGAGAACCATTGATGTAAACACCTATATTTGAAAGTGTGCACTTATTGCATTATTTGAATTGAAAAGTAAGGATTACCTTCTGATTGGTAATCAAGAAACTTTTGCTAAAGAAATCGTTCTTATTGCGAGATAAGAGCAATGTTTATCAATCTGTAATAAAAGACGTGAGGAAATTCCGTCTTTTTTAAAGACAACATTTTTTGAGGCGAAATAGCTAACAAAGAGTTTGTGAAAACATGAATCCGCCTCAACAATATAGAACTTATCTACTAAAGCTTGTAGGTTCGTCTATGTTTGCAAACTTCAAATCTGATTAAACCAGTGAATTATTCTTTTTACACAATACTTACTTTATACCAGAAAAGTGATAGAAAATATTCCCATTCCTTACGGGGTCTTACTTGGACAGAACGGAAAAAATATTATCCCTAGAAGACTAGCTCTAGCTACATATTGCAAGACATTTGTGAGCATAGGCCCACTTTGTATGTTTCTTATTTTACTTGTTCAGCTAAGCAGAAAGAGCATTTGAACAAAGATATTTGCACTTGCGTGTTCTTCATATGTTTTATTTGAGTAAACCTCTGGGACAAACTTGCTCCAAGGGTTTACTGACTGGATACGATTCTGTACACGTCTTCACCCATGGACTTAGCCGGACTTGGGTGGATCTCAGCGCCACTACAAGTAAGTTCTCATTTAATTTTAATATTTCACTTTTGTTGGTTTTCCTGGATTCAGGATCACGAGTTTAATGGCAGTTTCCGGTAGTGGTTTCAATATTCTCTAGCTGCTTTTAGGTGGTCGTTATGAACTATTCCATTAGATATCAGTGAGGAGTTTCGTTTCTTCTGGAGCATCCAAAAATTCTGTTTCGAGTTTTCGTTTCTCCTCTTTATTTGAGATTTCTGTTTCGAGTGTTTCGAACTGGTTAAATGTCCTCTTTATCTTGACGCAAAGTTAAAACTTATTCAACTATTTGTAGACCAGCAAATCGCTTGTCCTGAGGCTACATTTTTGTGAATTGTATTGTTTCTATTTACCCACTTTTTGTTCAAGTCAAAGGCGAAGAAAAAGAGTGAATGTCACGAAGATATTTCTTGGCGGCCTGGACATTGATTAGGAATGCATATTCTGTAATATGATGGACTATTCCCTGCAAGATTCCCATTGTGTACTTTTCTCCGTGCTTTGGAGTACTCTTTATTTTTTAGGGCTTCAACTGCCCATATCCTGTTGTTCGGCGCGCGAAGCTCACATTTAATGTTGGTCTGTGCAAATTTTGTGCGACTAATAACCCACCAACCAAATTATCCCCAGTTGTTCAACTAAATTAATCTGCTTTGTGCACTGTAGAGTGCAGCAATGCTTTCGGGGAATTCGAAACCCAAAACTAAAGCAACTGAAGCCCAATTGCCTGAATCGATTGCCTGCGAAGGGCCGTAATTGTCGGCTTTCGTTTTCAATAAGATTGTCGGCCAATACCCAAAGAGGAGCGTTTCAACCACTATTTGTTTCGTTTCCCGTTGACAAATCTGAACCAAAAGCGTTTGTTGGCCGCAGTCAGATTATGTAAGAAACCGGAAAATCGGGTCTAATGTTTCCCGCTTGCTCCAAAGCAGTAATAGAAACGAAGACAAAAATCTAATGAACAATACGGTGGCAGGAAAATCCATCATTTTCGATATCGCGATCCAACTGACGTAATCGCGAGGAACCATGGATAAATGCACAAATCTGAGGTCAGCTTTTGCGGCCGTATAGACGACAATCGGATGTCAAAAACATAATGACGGGCACGGTGATACGCAGCTTCTTTTCTCCATCGCGTTGGGCATTGTTCTCGGCTCTGGTAATTTAGCAAATCGATCTGCGCCTTAAATTGGGGCCCCTTTTCAAGACGCCCGGACGGACGCCCGCAGAAGCGGAACACTTGGCGATTTCCGATCGCTTTCGACCTCATCATATTTCCAAGCTCCAAGCAAGAAGAGTTGCTCTAATAAATATGCCCCATCTGGGCGCCAACCAGCACCCAAATATTTTCTGCCAAATTCAGTCGTTTCTGTCGCGATAATCCGATCATATTAGAGCTAACGTGTTTCCAGAATTGCCCAATCCGCATCCTTTTTTTGACAGGCGCCAAAGGGTGAAAGGTTTTATTAAAACAACATCGTCAACCCTTGTCCCCAGTGTTTGTCCAACGTCTATGGGGTTGACGCATATTTGGCAGTCTTCATTCTTTTCGTATTTTCCACTTCTTTAGGCTGTTTCCAGTGGCTGTTTGAGTCCAGCTCATGTTCCCCACATTGAACTATTCCGGGTCTTTTTGCGATGGCACAATTGCTGATACCAACTAAATTTGTGCATCAATCCACGTTTCAAGAGAAACTTTTTGATATATCT